TGTGTGTGATGAGTGCAATTGTGTGGTAGTTTGACCATTCCTTGGCCTTGGCTTTCTTTGGGATTGGAATTAAAACTCAACTTTTTCCAGCCCTGTGGCCACTGCTGTTTTTCAAATTTGCTGGCATATTGAGTGTAGCACTTTCACAACATCATCTTTTAGGATTTGAAATAGCTCAACTGCAATTCCATCACCTCCACTAGCTTTGTTCATAGTGATGCTTCCTAAGGCCCACTTGACTTCATATTCCAGGATGTCTGGCTCTAGGTGAGTGATCACACCATTATGATTATCTGGGTCATGAATATCTTGTTTGTATAGTTCTTCTGTGTATTCTTGCCACCTCTTCTTAATATCTTCTGCTTCTGTTAGGTCCATACTATTTCTGTCCTTTACTGTGCCCATCTTTGCATGAAATGTTCCCTTGGTATCTCTAATTTTCTTAAAGAGATCTCTAGTCTTTCCCATTCGGTTGTTTTCCTCTATTTCTTTGCATTGATTACTGAGGAAGGCTTTCTTATCTCTCCTTGCTATTCTTTGGAACTCTGCATTCAAATGGGTATATCTTTCCTTTTCTCCTTTGCCTTTAGCTTCTCTTCTTTTCTCAGCTATTTGTAAGGCTTCCTCAGACAACCATTTTGCCTTTTTTGCATTTCTTTTTCTTGGGGATGGTCTTGATCACTGCTTTCTATCCAGTGTCACGAACCTCCATCCATAATTATTCAGGCACTCTTTCTATAAGATCCTATCCTTTGACTCTATTTGTCAGTTCCACTGTATATTCATAAGGGATTTGATTTAGGTCATACCTGAATTGTCTAGTGGATTTCCCTATTTTCTTCAATTTAAGAGTGTTTGGCAATAAGCAGTTCATGATCTGAGCCACAGTCCGCTCCTGGTCTTGTTTTTGCTGACTGTATAGGACTTCTCCATCTTTGGCTACAAAGAATATAATCAATCTGATTTCGATATTGACCATCCGATGATGTCCATGTGTATAGTCTTCTCTTGTGTTGTTGGAAGAGGGTGTTTTCTATGACCAGTGTGTTCTCTTGGCAAAACTCTATGAGCCTTTGCCCTGCTTCATTCTGTACTCCCAAGGCCAAATGTGCCTGTTACTCCAGGTATTTTTCAAGTTCCTACTTTTGCATTCCAGTCCCCTGTAATGAAAAGAACATCTTTTGGGGGTGTTAGTTCTAGAAGGTCTTGTAGATCTTCATGGAATCATTCAACTTCAGCTTCTTCAGCATTACAGGTCAGGGCATAGATTTGGATTACTGTGTTATTGAATGGTTTGCCTTGGAAACGAACAGAGATCATTCTATTGTTTTTGAGATTTGTACCCAAGCACTGCATTTTGGACTCTTTTATTGACCATGATGGCTACTCCATTTCTTCTAAGGGATTCCTGCCCACAGTAATAGATATAATGGTCATCTGAGTTAAATTCACCCATTCCAGTCCATTTTAGTTCACTGATTCCTAGAATGTCGACATTCACTCTTGCCATCTCCTGTTTGACCACTTCCGATTTGCCTTGATTCATGGACCTAACATTCCAGGTTCCTATGCAGTATTGCTCTTTACAGCACCGGACCTTGCTTCTATCACCAGTCACATCCACAACTGGGTGTTGTTTTTGCTTTGGCTCCGTCTCTTCATTCTTTCTGGAGTTATTTCTCCTCTGATCTCCAGTAGCATATTGGGCACCTACCAGCCTAGGGAGTTCATCCTATCTTTTTGCCTTTTCATACTGTTCATGGGGTTCTCAAGGCAAGAATACTGAAGTGGTTTGCCATTCCCTTCTCCAGTGGACCACATTCTGTCAGACCTCTCCACCATGATCTCTCTGTCTTGGGTGGCCCCACATGGCATGGCTTAGTTTCATTGAGTTAGACGACTGTGGTCCATGTGATCAGATTGGTTAATTTTCTGTGTTTGTGGTTTTCTTTCTCTCTGCCTTCTGGTGGAGAAGGATAAGAGACTTATGGAAGCTTCCTGATGGGAGAGACTGACTAAGGGGAAACTGGGTCTTGTTCTGATGGGTGGGGCCATGCTCAGTAAATCTTTAATCCAGTTTTCTGTTGACAGGTGGGGCTGTGTTACCTCCCTGTTATTTGACCTGAAGCCAAACTATGGTGGAGGTAATGAAGATAATGGTGACCTCCTTCAAAAGGCTATGAAATCTGCTATGATTTCATTAGAAATTTACCCTCCTTTTTATGCCAGCCTGTGCTTCCCTTTTCATAGCCCCACTTTTCAGCATGTTCTTATTGCTGTGGGGAATACCTGGGGAGGCTAGGGAGTTCAGGGGACCAATCACCAGAGGCGTAACTTGTTCAGGTTCCTGCAGTCAAGCTGCCTGTTTTGCAGTTTGATCAGCTTTGCTGTTTCTTTGGCCTACAAAGGATCCATCCCTCTGATGACCCCTACTATGGACTATTGCTACCTTGATTGAGAGCTCCACTCTTTCTAAAAGAACCAGAATCAAATCTGTACATTTTGGGGGAAATTTCTAGTGGTTAACATTTCAATTTCTTTCCAAATGGCAGCATGAGCTTGTAGCATGTGGAGCCTACATTTTGAGTCAGTAAAAACATGCAGTTTCTTATCCTTCCCTAATTGCAAAGCTCTCCTTTGTGCAATTAGTTCAGCCTTCTGGGCTAGTGTCTGGGGTGGTGGGGCCTAGGCTGCTATGATTTCATCTTGACTAACCTTGGCATACCCTGCCTTTTAGGTTCCCATTTCTATAAAACTGCTCCCATTAGTAAACCATTTGACTCCTGTCTGTCAAGAGGTTCATCTAGAAGATCTGACCTGCTATAGTAAGTTTGGTCTATGGTCTCTATACACTGATGCAATTAGCCTGTACTTTTGACTGCTGGAAGCAGAGTTGCTGAGTTTGGTGTTTAGCACACCATTAAGGTACTGTCAGAGATGTCCATTAGGCAGGTCTAATATCTTTTTAACTTTTCTCCTGTCAACCAATGATGTCCTTTGAACTCCAGCACAGCTTGTACCCAATGAGAGGTTAACACAACTAAGTGTCATCCCAGGGTGAACTTGAAGGCCTTATTAACCAACAGGTCTGTGGCCGCTACTGCCCCCAGGCAGCTTGGCCTCCCAAGGCCACTGAGTTGTGTGAAAATTAAGCACTGGCCACTGATCTGGTCCCAGCTTTTTGGTCAGGTTTCCTAGCGCTGTCCCTGACTTCTTATGAACATACAGGGTAAAGAGTTTTCCAAATTTGGAAGCTCCAGTGCTGGCGCTCTACTCAACTCAGGCTCTAGAGTCTCAAATGTCCACTGGTGGTCCTTATCCCATGGGAGGGGTTCCCTTTCTCCTCCCTTTAAAACCTTGTAGGCCATAAGACCATAATTTGGAATTCAGATATGACAGAATCCAGTCATTTTGAGAAAGCCTTGGGTTGCCTCTTTGTGCTTGAAGATAGTAATGAACTACTTGCTGTTTTTGATCTATGGCCAGGGTTTGTGCTTAAAACAAATCTTAAATACAGAACCTTTTGCTGTGAGATCTGAGCCTTGATTTGGGGAGATTTTATGACCATTCTTGTAAAAAAATTTAGGACCTTAACAATATGTTGATCTGAATCTTGCATTGTCTCACTACTTAGCAATAAATCATAAAAATATTGTAGGCGAGTCCCTTCTCAAGGCTTAGCTCCCTTGATGATGCTTTTCCAACAAGATGGGGGCTGTCTTCAAAGCCCTGTAGAATCACTGTTCAGGTATATTGGGTAGCCTCCAGGGTGCCAGGGCCCTCCATTCAAAGGCAAAGAAATTTGCACAATCCATTATCAAAATCAGCATTCCAGGAAAACAAAGTTTTCTTAGGAGAGAGAGAAACCAAGTCTAGTCTTGCACCAATCTACACTTAAAATTCATTTACCTAAATAAATTTAATCTAATCTTAGAAAGTTCTGACCATGTACAAAACTCTTTTCCCAATGTTCCTTTTTCATAAACCCCCTACAACTTTCTGTATCCATATTATCCTGTCTTTCACTTTCTTTTTTATCCAGAAACAGCCAGCTCTAGGACACCCCCCACTTTTTCCCTCATACCTTGCCACTCTTCATACCTTCTTCTACCAAAAACATACTTTCAATTTTCCTTGTATACCAAAATATTTCCCTTATAATTGTTAACTTTAAAGCCTTAATCTCTAGCAAAAACTAAGAAACAAGTAAATAAATGTTTGTCATACTAGCATTTCCTGACTGGAATATCCCATACCTTCCAGAAACATGTATTTTCCCAAGAACAATTTCTTTCCTCAATGTAGGTACAAGACATGTGTTTAATAAATCAAAATATCTTTAGTTTCTCTCTTGTAAGGAGACAAAGCAAATAAATTTAGACCTGTTTAGCAATTAATATTCCAATATTTTATCTTACTTGAAATTACTTGGATATTCAATGAGTTCCCATCTTTAGTTTTAATTTCAAATTACCAAAATCTGGAGGGACTATTTTAGATGGGCATTTCCAAAACCAAATTATTCCTATAGAGTTAACCAACTCTGTTATCTCTGTTATCTCTGTTACATTTCCTTAAAAGTTTCATCATATCAGGTGATTTTCCTTGTTGACAGATTTTATAGCAGAAACAATATGCATTTATTGGTTTCAAGTAACTTGAGTACAATAAAAAATATTATACTTAATGCTGATGACTCTAAAGACAAGTCTGTGTTAATTAAATCCATAAGCTTAAGCTAGCTCTAATGCCAGATATTAATTTATTACTATTTCCCAGATCACATTAATCTGAAATGTACCCTGGTGAGTTTCTTTTATATTTCTGAAAATGTATATACATGCTTAATGTCCTTTAAGCCAATTAAATACGCTCATTTATAAATTAATTTTTACATAAAGCAGAACTGGAGATAACATAGTTTTCCTGATTGAATTTTAAAAGTCTGAGAGACTGCAGATGGATAAAATGGCTCCTGAGAGCCCAAGCAAGACACTTACGTTGTAAAGGCAGAGAGAACTGCCAGCTGCTCCTGTGGGCTGTGCTTTCATGCCAAGCTTTACACGCTGCGCCATGCCCACAGTGTGGCAGGGCCTTGCAGGGCTGTTTGGACTGACGTGAAAGTGAAGTCACTTAGTCGTGTCCGACTCTTTGCAACCCCATGGACTGTAGCCCACCAGGCTCCTCCATCCATGGGATTCTCCAGGCAAGAATACTGGAGTGGACTGACATAAATACCTGTAAATAAATAAACTCTACATGAAACAAAGGCTCTTTTGAGTCCACTGACTGAGACTCAGCATGTGGCCAATGACAGACTCGTAGAGATGCAGGTGGGAAACAGAGACTGTCTCGCCGTGAGGCGGCCTCCAGAGGACTCTGTCCAGCCCATTGTCTCTCAACCTTCTGCAAGCTGGAGTCGGGAACAAAACAGAAAAGCACTGGGTGGGGGGAAGTTGTGAAACAGGTGACCCAACAGAGAGTCACCATGATGAAAAGGGACAAGAGTGTAGGTGTGAGGACCGAGGCAGTGAAGAAGGGAGAAGGGACAAAAAAAGTGAAAAATGAGACAGAAAGAGGTTGCCATTTCAGCCCGACCCCCTTGGGTTCTATTCACCACGGGACCAAGGAGATCCTGCCTTTGCGACATGGATGGACATGAGGCCATCATGCTAAGTGAAGTGAGCCAGACAGAGAAAGATGAATCCTGCATGGTATCACTTTCAGGGGCTGGATTAGAGAAAGGAGGGAGCGGTGGGTAAAAGGGTTTTGTTGTTGTCCAGTTGCTCAGCCATGTCCAAATTCTGTGACCCCATGGACCACAGCCATTCGGTTATAAGATGAAGAAGGTCTGAGGATGTTATGTAAGCATGCTGACTATATTTGATAATACTGTTATATAAATATATTTATTAAAAGTATACAACAAATATTTTCACCAAAAAAGTATATATGTATGTGTAGTGATGGATGTTAACAAATTAATTAGAAGGGGGAATACCTTAAAAACATAAATGTATATCAGATCACCACAATGTACACTTTAAATATCTTACAATTTTGTTTATAAATTATACCTCAATAAAGTTGAAAAATAGTAAAATATGAGAGAAACTGTAGCAGGGGCAAAGTTAGGTCTTTGTGAGGATTGGCCTTTTTCTGGTTCATTTTATTCAAAGGCATAGCTTTTGAGGAGTCTAAAATTAGAGTACTGGGTAGTTAAGAGGACTCTACCTAGCTGGGCCTTGACAAATTGACTAATTTCTTTAAGTTTGTGTGGGACTTTCCCAGTTTTGCACCAAATATCCTGCATCCTTAGAAACCCTTCAGTCCCAGGAAAACTTGGGCAGTGGGTTCAAGCCTTAAACTCAAACTTCTATGCATGAGATGGCTGAAAACTCTGGCGCTCTGTCTTAACTGGTCATCATGAGTCAGTAAATGCCAGAAGGGCTAACGGAATACCTAGTGTCCCCAAAGACACCCAGATCATTTCCATGGTCAGATTTTAAAATTTGCTTTTACTTGAAGTCTTTTACTAAATCTTTCAGAAACTATCATCGTTCAGGGCTCAGCTCAAATATCGTTTCCAAAAGTGACCTATGTAAAGTGGCCATATTCTCAGGGCTCATTCTCTAAGAGATCTATGACATGTTCTTTATGGCTGTTATTTGTATCTCAAATTATTCATTTGATTATATGCTTTCTGTCTGACTGACCCCAATCTAAGTGTATGTTCAGTGATATGAATTCTTAAGAGCACAAACTTTGTCCAGCTTGTTTGCTTCCACATACAGAAGGCTTCCCCGGTGGCTCAGACAGTAAAGAATCCACCCACAATGCAAGAAATCTGGGTTCGATTCCTGGGTTGGGAAGATCCCCTGGAGGAGGGCATGGCAACCCACTCCAGTATTCTTGCCTGGAGAATCCCATGGACAGAGGAGCCTGGCGGGCCCCAGCCCATAGTGTCACAAAGAGTCGGACATGACTGAGTGACTAAGCACACACACAGACTATCTAGAACATTTTCTGCAATTCCTAGGTCCTAAAGAAACACTTGTTGAATGTGTAAATAAATGGATGGATATTTTCTGCTGAGTTGTGTTTTCAAAGCTTCTCAAGACCTTAAGGCTGCCTCACTGAAAGTTCAGTTCAGTTCAGTCGCTCAGTCCTGTCCAGCTCTTTGTGACCCCATGGATTGCACTACACCAGGCCTCGATGTCCAAAACCAATCCCGGAGCTTACTCAAACTCATGTCCATCGAGTCGGTGATGCCATCCAACCATCTCATCCACTGTCATCCCCTTCTCCTCCTGCCTTCAATCTTTCCCAGCATCAGGGTCTTTTCAAGTGAGTCAGTTCTTCACATCAGGTGGCCAAACCAGGAGTTTCAGCTTCAGCATCAGTCCTTCCACAGAACACCCAGGACTGATCTCCTTTAGGATGGACTGGTTGGATCTCCTTGCAGTCCAAGGGACTCTCAAGAGTCTTCTTCAACACCACAGTTCAAAAGCATCCATTCTTCGGTGCTCAGCTTTCTTTATAGTCCAGATCTCACATCCATACATGACTACTGGATAAAACAACTTTGACTAGATGGACCTTTGTTGGCAAAGTAATATCTTTGCTTATTTATATGCTGTATAGGTTGGTCATAGCTTTTCTTCCAAGGAGCAAGCATCTCTTAATTTCATGGCTGCAGTCACCATCTGCAGTGATTTTGGAGCCCCCCAAAAAGTAAAGTCTGTTTCCATTTTTTCTATTTGCCATGAAGTGATGGGACCAGATTCCATGATCTTAGTTTTCTGAATGCTGAGTTTTAAGCCAACTCTTTCACTCTCTGCTTTCACTTTCATCAAGAGGCTCTTTAGTTCCTCTTCACTTTCTGCCATAAGGGTGGTGTCATCTGCATATCTGAGGTTATTGATATTTCTCCCAGCAATCTTGATTCCAGCTTGTGCTTCCTCCAGCCCAGTGTTTCTCATTATGTACTCTGCATATAACTTAAATAAGCTGGGTGACAACATACAGCCTTGATGTACTCCTTTTCCTATTTGGAGCCAGTCTGTTGTTCCATGTCCAGTTCTAACTGTTGCTTCCTGACCTGCATACAGATTTCTCGAGAGGCAGGTCAGGTGGTCTGGTATTCCCATCTCTTTCAGAACTTTCCCCAGTTTGTTGTGATCCACACAGTCAAAGGCTTTGGCACAGTCAATAAAGCAAAAGTAGATGTTTTCTGGAGCTCTCTTGCTTTTTCAGTGATCCAGCGGATGTTGGCAATTTGATCTCTGGTTCCTCTGCCTTTTCTAAAACCAGCTTGATCATCTGGAAGTTCATGGTTCATGTACTGTTGAAGCCTGGCTTGGAGGATTTTTAGTATTATTTTGCTAGTGTGTGAAATGAGTCCAATTGTGCAGTAATTTGAACATTCTTTGGCATTGCCTTTCTTTGGTATTGGAATGAAAACTGACCTTTTTCAGTCCTGTGGCCACTGCTGAGTTTTCCAAATTTGCTGGCATATTGAGTGCAGCACTTTCACAGCACCATCTTTGAGGATATGAAATAGCCCAACTGGACTTCCATCACCTCCACTAGCTTTGTTCGTAGTGATGCTTCCTAAGGCCCACTTGACTTCACATTCCAGGATGTCTGGCTCTAGGTGAGTGATCACACCATCATGATTATCTGGGTCATGAAGATCTTTTTTGTACAGTTCTTCTGTGTATTCTTGCCACCTCTTCTTAATATCTTCTGCTTCTGTTAGGTCCATACCATTTCTGTCCTTTATTGTGCCCATCTTCGCAAGAAATGTTCCCTTGGTATCTCTAATTTTCTTGAAGAGGTCTCTAATTTTTCCCATCCTATTGTTTTCCTCTATTTTTAAAAAATTGATCACTGAGGAAGGCTTTCTTATCTCTCCTTTCTATTCTTTGGACCTCTACATTCAAATGGATATATTTTTCCTTTTCTCTTTTGCCTTTAGCTCCTCTTCTTTTCTCAGCTACATTGGAAGTTATGTCTCAGTAAATAACTCCCTCCTGACAATCTGGGTTTCCTTCTCCAGTGGACTGAAACTGAATCATTTAGTGAGACTACTTGTCCAACTGTTTTTCACAGGTAAACCAAGGAGCACAAGACAAGACCCAGAAGTTTATCTTAGAATAATTTAAATTCACTATGAAACTCACAGCTAAACTGCCCATGAACATTTTCATATGTCCTTCAGAAAGTCACGCAGGAGTGGCTTTATGTTAGTGATCAGTCTGTCAAAGCAAAATGCAAATGATTATTCATCACTCTGGTGAGTGTGTGAACTAGCGTTGTGGACTGTTGATGAGCTCAGAGGGAGAGGTCAGGTACCAGGGAATCACACGGTGGCAGACCCTCAACAGTGCATTATCCCTGAGCGCTCTCAACGGTTAAGGAGGCGCTAAAGGAAAAATAAAACTGAAACTGGAGGCTGGTTTAAGGAGAATGATTATGCTGTGATTGTGGTGTTTCTTGTGAAGAACACCCTTGACAGTAAATATTAAGATATGATTGATAAAATACAATTTAGGGATACTTTCTCTGTAAGTTGGAGAGTATTTTACTCATAGATCTGTGATACAGGGAACTGAAAGAGGGCAAAACACTTTTTGAGTACTTATGTAAGTCAGGTTAATAAAGTAAGATATATTAATATAAACATAATTATATGAAGACAAAAACAACAGCTGTCATTAACTGGGTCAATCAGAATTCTTGGATCCATCTTCAACTCTATTCTTCCTCTCACACCATATACTCAACCATTCTGTAAGTCCTCTTCCTCTGTCATCAAAATACATCCATAATGTGATCATTTCCATCATCTCCACTGTTCCCATCCTGTTCCAAGGTCTCATCCACTTTTGCCTGAATTATTGCAATGAACTTTAACTGATACTATATAACTCATTCCTAAATTTGTTGAACATTTAATGACAGCTTCAGCAAAGGCAATGTATCTTTGTTTATGAACAAGTTGAATAAAATCAAACAGCTGCTTATCTAAGCTTTTGAGTGGTGAGGGGGAAAGCCATTGTCAGTAGTGATG